CCGCTCGGGCCACCCGAGGCCCAATGTTATTTTTAATAAAAAATAATAAAATTTTAGTGGAAAAAATTAAAAAAGAAATTAAAATTTATTTAGGCCCGCCCAAGCCCGCCCAAAGCCCGAGCCTAGGACCAAGCCCCAGGGCCCCACTCGAGGCTTGGCCCACTGGCCCGCTCAAAACCCGAATACCCTTGGGCCTGGGCTTGGGCCTAGTTTTATGGCCTGACTCGATTTTTTGGCAGAAACCTACAAGGCCCGACATGGGTCTGGCCCGACCCGAGCCCGGATGGACCGGACCGGGCCAAAATTACACCCTTAGGCCACTCCAAGGCCAATGACGATTATTACCTAATATGTGTGAAAGGAAAATTTCCGTACACCCAAGAACTAGTCAAGACAAAGTGTTCATGACAAAATAATAATAATCTATATATATAAGAAAAATGGACTTTTTTTTAATGAGAAACCTTCTAGGAGTTCTAAACTTTCATTCTAATGTTCTTGATTTTCTTAATTTTAAATAATTATTTTTATTTGATAATCTTACATTGGGAAAAAAAAGAAAAAAATGAGTTGTTTTACTCATATAAAGAGAATTTTATACTTTCATTTCATTTAGTGAGGAGCCTTGTGAGAATTTCAATATCTCATACTAATTTTCTTAATTTTAAACAATTAAGAAAATCTCCATTGGCTAACTTTTATTTGAAAATCCCACATAAAAAAAAGAAAGAAAAAGTTATAGTTTAGGTTGGAATAAAGTGAATTGTTTAGGTTGGAATAGTTTAGATTGGAAGCTTCTTTTATAATTTAGGTTGATGGTTCACCAAACTATACGGTGAAAATATGTCTCTTTAATAGGAGGCCAACTCATACAATTTAAAGGCTTTTTTTAATAATTAATGTTATTATTATTATAATAAAAGGGTTTTGAAATTTGGAGACCATCACCCATCTCTCCCAATTGGGTCCATCTTGCTTGTATAACTACAATTAATTATATTTTTAAAATAATATTTTGTTTCAAATGCAATAATGCAAGTTAATTCCACGATTACGACCACATGGATGACAATGTAACAAGGCGCGTGTCGGAGAGGAGAAGAGGTCAGTTGATTGACTTTAATTTGTTTTCAGTTTTTATTCGTAACATTCTGGACAAATTAAAGTTTGATTTACTTTGAGCAAGACTATCATTTATAATCACATAATTTTATTATATTTAATTTTTAAAAATAAATAGTATATATAATTTTATAAATAGATCATATATTTTTTTATTAAAGATAAATACATTGAAATCACATGAACATGACTTTCGAATGAATTTGAAATTTTTTTTTTTAATATGCATATGAGTTTACAAAATGATCGAGTATGATTAATTCATCAACCTAAACTATGTCTCTCTAATTTCCATTGATTAGCTTTCATTTGCCTTTTATTTTACAATCACACATTGGAAAAAGAAAGAAAAAGTTAATTGTTTCGTTTATATAAAGTGAATCTTATGCTCTCATTTATATAAGCAAAAATATATTTTTAGTGAGAAGCCCTATGATTAATATCTCATACTCATTTTTTTTTTCTTAATTTTAAGCGATTAAAAAAATCTCCATTCATTAGCTTCCATTTAATTTTAAAAATAATTTTATATGAGATTTTGAAACTCTTGTAATATTTAGTTTTAAAATAATTACAATCCCACATCGAGAAGAAAAAAAAAAGAAAAAAAAAAGTGAGTTGTTTCACTTATGTAAAGTGTTACAATCCCACATCGGTAACAGAACAAAAAAGCGAGTTGTTTCACTTATATAAAATGAATCTTGTAAAGTAAGTTTTAAGGGAGAAGCTTTTTAGAAGGTCCAAACTCTCATTCTAAAATTATTAAATTTTCTTAATTTTAAATAATTAAGAAAATTTCTATTGGGTAGCTTCCAATTACCTTTTATTTTACAATTCCAAATATAAAGAAAAAAAAAAGTAAAGAAAAGAAAAAAAAGTGAATAGTTTCATTTACATAAAATGAATTTTATTTTCCAATTTATATAAATTATTAAAATTTCTTAATTTTAAAAAATTAAGAAAATCTCCATTGGTTAGTTTTCATTTAACTTTTATTTTATAATTCTACATCAGGAAAAGAAGGAAAAAGTGAATTCTTTTATTTATATAAAGTGAATCAGATGCTCCCATTTATATAAGTAAAAGAAGATTTTTAGTGCGAAACCCTATAATCAATATCATTTGTGTGTGTGTGTGTTTAAGAACACGTGCAAAACTCCTAGCATATCACCCGTGCTATGTGAAGGTGCAATGTGAATGTGCTTTTGTGACCACAGTTTCAATATGCAATCCAATGTATATATCCATTTAACTTTTATTTTACAATCCTGCATCGAGAAAAAAAAAAGTGAATTATTTCTATTATATAAAGTGATATCTTATTCTCCCTTTTATATAAGTAAAAAAAGATTTTTAGTAAGAAACTTTTTAATTAGTACCAATTTTTTTTTTTCTTAATTTTAAACAATTAAGAAAATCTTCATTGGTTAGCTTCTATTTAACTTTTATTGTACAATCCCACATAGACGTTTTCGATTTTAAAAATAATTTTGCATGAGATTTTGAAACTCTCATAATATTTAATTTTAAAATAATTACATTCCCACATCTTAAAAAAAAATAAAAAGTGAGTTGTTTCGCTTATATAAAGTGAATATTATACTCTTATTTAATATTATAGTATTGTACATATTTTAGTTCAAGATGGTTTAAATTTTAAAATAAAATGTAAAGGTTTTAATTAATTAATTTTGTTGTAAATTGGTTGGTCATTTGACTTAACCAATTAGGCTGAATCGTTTCCGGTTTGACTGGTTCACTGGTTTAATCACGGTTTTAGTTGTTTTATCAAAATATATTGCTTAGATTTGTTTAATTTGAAATAAACTAAGATTGATCTGATTAAAAATTGAACGACTAAAATTGTTTGATTAGAAACGAATTTATCTTCCAAACAACTGTTAACTTTTATTTTACAATCCCATATCAGGAAAAGGAGGAAAAAATGAGTTGTTTCACTATATAAATCTTATGCTTCCATTTAATATTATAGTGTTGTGTATATTTCAGTTCAAGACAATTTAAATTTTAAAATTAAAATAAAATTTAAAATTTTTACTGGTAATTTTTGATATTTTTCCCAACCATCATGAAAGATTACACCATTTCATTCAAATAGAATGCAATTCCATTCACTTCTAAATTTTCCCAACATTCCAACCCATGCCTTGTCCAAATCCATTAAATTAAACATCATGATGACTAAAAGAAATTGGTGTGTTTGGTAAATGTTTTTTTTATTATTAAAAAAAAATGGTTAAGTAGATTTTTCTGAAAAAACAAAAAAACAAAACAAAACAAAACAAAATAAAAACATACAGGTTTGATGACCCCAAACATAAATTCAATGGTGAATTCCACAACTCAAAAATAAAAATTAAAATCCTTCTTTTTACTTCTATTGCAATTGCTTTTTAAAATTAATCCCTGGTTATTTTTGATCTTTTTCCCAACCATCCAACCCCACCAAAAAAATAAAAAGAAAAAGAAAAAGAAAAATAACCTACAAAGTATGATCAGCTTGAGCTCTAATTCTCACAAATTTCTAGATATTATTCAGTGTGTTTGGTTTCAATTGTTTGAATTCAATTTTTTGAAAAATAAGTTTTTTATTTTTTATATTTTTTTATTTTTAGTGAATATTTTTAAAATTTTAAGCAATGTTTTTACTTTTTTTTAAATTTTTTTTAGATCCACCTTACCTAGATGTATCTAAATGGTAAAATATTTGTAAAACAATATTTTAAAAAATTAATAAAAAAAATACAAAAAATGTATTGAAATTTTGTATTTTTTTTTATATATTTTTGGTATTTAGTGAATTTTTTAAAGATTTTTTCACAAATATTATAATTTTTAAGTGTATTTAGTTATGTGTCTAAAAAAATTTTTAAAAAATTTACTTAAAGTATTAAAAAAAATTAGTGAAAACAAAAAAATACATAAAACAAAAATATAGAATTTTCAAAAAACTGAATTCTGAAAATTGAAACGAAATAATGATTACTATTATGTCTAGACTCAAGCAATCAAATTGTAATGATGTTTCGTTGTTTATCACCTTAACACGATATTAACAACAGATTTAAGTAATGAGATTGTTAGATTAAAATACAAATGACAAATAACATAATAAATTATAATAAATATATAAATATAATCATCACAACTAGAACATGACATTTGGCCGAGAATTGAAAATATGTGTTCTGTTTTTGGGATCAATGAAAGAGAGACTTAGATAGAAAAATAAGTTAAATAAATGTTAAGAAAGGTGAGGAAAAATCCTCCCTAGTCATGTCATTAAAAGCAAATGTTTTGTTTACAATAAAAAACTCAAAGATTAACTAAGTGGCAAGTTTGATTATGATTGGTATTTTTGGAATAATATGTTGTCAATTTCATCTCATCAAACACTTGGTTCTCTCTGGGCCACTCCACAGTCAATGCCCGATTATTACCTAATATGTGTAAAATGAGAAATTGCATATACCCAAAAACTAGTCAAGATAAAATGCTGAATACTCTCATTAAAATAATAATAATAATATTAACAATAAAATCAAAATCAAATCACTATAAGTCTAAGTCCTCAAGCAATGACCTCACACTGAAAAATTACACCAATAATAATATTAATCTCAAAAGTTATTTAATTTTTATTTTAGGAAAAATTAATCTAAGGTCCCTCTTCCACTTTTGGTGATGGAAGAGATCCACAATATTATTTTGTGATGTCTAAGATCCCTTAATCCTACACCCATATATCCAGAGAAATTTCAGTCTCTCATTTTCTCCTTCTACACACATGAACACATTTCTAAGCTTTTCACTTCCACCATTAGATGTAATCTGTCTCTCTCTCTTGCTCTCTCTCTCTTTCTCTAATTCAATCACGCAACGCTCTCTGGTCAAAGCGTTGGGGACTCAGACCATCCGACCCAGAAAAAGCCCTCAACATCGCCAAAAACGCAGTCAAACGAGCACCCCTTTTGATACCCATCTTCAACCATTGCTACATTCCCTATAATCCTTGCTTAGCTGGAAACCCCATCTTCTTCATTGACGAGAATCGAATCTTTTGCTGTGGTTTCAATCTCTCTGATTTCTTTGATCGCGAGTCTTCATTGTTCAACAACTTAGACCCTCAGGTCCTATCAAAACAACGATCATTCAACGAGAAATTGGCCAGGTCGTCATCTAATTTTTCTCGGAGAAGCCTCGACGCCGTGACCACTGGTAGAAACCCCAGATGGGTTGAGTTTTGGAGCGCCGCCGCCGTGGATCGGCGGCGAAGGAACTATAATTCATCGTCTTCTTCCTCCTCGTCCCCAGAATGGTGCTTCGACATGCCCAGATCCGAAATGCCAAAATGGGTCGACGAGTACATTGACCAGATCGAGTCGGTGTTGAGAGAAGGCGGGTGGGACGAATCGGACATCTCTGAAATCGTACACGTGTCAGCCTCTGGGTTCTTCGAAGGTGAGATGGTTCTCTTGACATTGACTCAGTCCTCAACAACAAGCTAAATCTCGACACTTTCATCACTGTTCCACACGGGGCCTACTCTTGGCCTGGTTCGGACCGCTTCCTGGCTAATCCACTCAAATATGTATGTATATATATAAATGTGCTGTATATATATGGTGTGTGTTTGGACTAGAGAAATTCTGATTTGAACTAAATTTTCTCTGGGTTGGTCCAGAGAAATTCTTTGTTTGGACTGATTTTTTTCTTATTTGAACTGAATTTTCTCTGGGTTAAAGAGAATTTCTCTGTAAATGTTTCTCTAGGAATTTCATTGATTATGAGAGAATTTCTCTGGCTTAAAGTGATTCAGAGAAATTCTTCATTCATTTTCTCTGAAAAAAATTTCTATCTAGAGAAATTCTAGGGGATTTTGGTCATTTTGTAAATTTTCTTTGAGAAATTCTCTGGAAGGTCTGAGAAATAGAGAAACCTCCCAGAGAAATTCTAGTTCTCTGGAGAGAAATTCTCTCAGAGGTCCAAAGAAATTTCTCTTGATGAAATTTCTCTGAATCAAATTGAGGGACCTTAGACATTATGAAAATATTTGGTGTCTTTTATGCTATAAAATTTTAATACCAGGGACCTTAAAAAAAATCTCCTTTATTTTATATAATATAAAAAAATTAAATATAATTATGATATTTTTATTAAATAATATATTATTTTATTCTATGTATAGTATGAATGATATGCTAATAATAATAATAATAATAATCAAATCACAATAACTCGAGCGTCTAGGCCACTCCAAAGGTCTATGACGATTATTACCTAGGCCTCGTTTGGGAACAGACTAATTTAGTAACTTTTTGGCTATTTAGCTAAAATGTGATGTAAAAAAAACTAGTATGTTTGGGATGACTTTTTGATTTTTTACGAAAAGATGTGCAAAAAGTAGAGAGAAAATGAAATCTTTGACTTTTTGGTATGAGTTGTTGGCTTTTTAGCTTTTTTAGTAACTTTTTGACTTTTTGGCTAAAATAACCTCTTGCCAAACGAGGCCCTAATATGTGTGTGAAAGGAGAAATTCCATAAACGCAAAAACTAGTCAAGACAAAAAATAATAATAATAATATCAAAATCAAATCACAACAAAACCTCCAGCGTCAACCTGACATAGAAAAATTACAATACATGTTCTCACTTCAACCTCGAGACTAGACGACGATTAAATACCGTAGGAAAAATATTTTCAGTAAAATTAATTTAATATAAATAAATAATAAAATAAAATATAAGAAATTTTTTATAAAAATTTTGTAAATTTAATACAAATTATGACCGAGACTAGTGTTTAAACATATGTCTTTAAGACAAAATTTTATTCTCGCCTCTGGTGCTTGTGATTAATAGACGTCCTACTTTCAAGAAACAACGATCACCCCACACAAAAATTGCACAACTTTCTGTGTATACAGCGAACCAATTTGTGTTATGTACTCTTCTTTTTATATTTGACTATGACATATGTATGAATCCTCACATTTGACAAATAAATGTCATGGGAATGGTATTTATAAAAGTGATTGACACCATTCTAAAGGATCCTGACTTTTTCATTCAAATGGAGGTTTGACCCTTCCTTTAATATTAAGAGATATTATGAAAGATTACACCATTTCATTCAAATAGAATGCAATTCCATTCACTTCTAAATTTTCCCAACATTCCAACCCATGCTTTGTCCAAATCCATTAATTAAACATCATGATGACTAAAAGAAATTGGTGTGTTTGGTAAATGTTTTTTTTATTATTAAAAAAAAATGGTTAAGTAGATTTTTCTAAAAAAACAAAAAAACAAAACAAAACAAAATAAAAACATACAGGTTTGATGACCCCAAACATAAATTCAATGGTGAATTCCACAACTCAAAAATAAAAATTAAAATCCTTCTTTTTACTTCTATTGCAATTGCTTTTTAAAATTAATCCCTGGTTATTTTTGATCTTTTTCCCAACCATCCAACCCCACCAAAAAAATAAAAAGAAAAAGAAAAAGAAAAATAACCTACAAAGTATGATCAGCTTGAGCTCCAATTCTCACAAATTTCTAGATATTATTCAGTGTGTTTGGTTTCAATTGTTTGAATTCAATTTTTTGAAAAATAAGTTTTTTATTTTTTATATTTTTTTATTTTTAGTGAATATTTTTAAAATTTTAAGCAATGTTTTTACTTTTTTTTAAATTTTTTTTAGATCCACCTTACCTAGATGTATCTAAATGGTAAAATATTTGTAAAACAATATTTTAAAAAATTAATAAAAAAAATACAAAAAATGTATTGAAATTTTGTATTTTTTTTTATATATTTTTGGTATTTAGTGAATTTTTTAAAGATTTTTTCACAAATATTATAATTTTTAAGTGTATTTAGTTATGTGTCTAAAAAAATTTTTAAAAAAAATTACTTAAAATATTAAAAAAAATTAGTGAAACCAAAAAAATACATAAAACAAAAATATAGAATTTTCAAAAAACTGAATTCTGAAAATTGAAACGAAATAATGATTACTATTATGTCTAGACTCAAGCAATCAAATTGTAATGATGTTTCGTTGTTTATCACCTTAACACGATATTAACAACAGATTTAAGTAATGAGATTGTTAGATTAAAATACAAATGACAAATAACATAATAAATTATAATAAATATATAAATATAATCATCACAACTAGAACATGACATTTGGCCGAGAATTGAAAATATGTGTTCTGTTTTTGGGATCAATGAAAGACAGACTTAGATAGAAAAATAAGTTAAATAAATGTTAAGAAAGGTGAGGAAAAATCCTCCCTAGTCATGTCATTAAAAACAAATGTTTTGTTTGCAATAAAAAACTCAAAGATTAACTAGTGGCAAGTTTGATTATGATTGGTATTTTTGGAATAATATGTTGTCAATTTCATCTCATCAAACACTTGGTTCTCTCTGGGCCACTCCACAGTCAATGCCCGATTATTACCTAATATGTGTAAAATGAGAAATTGCATATACCCAAAAACTAGTCAAGATAAAATGCTGAATACTCTCATTAAAATAATAATAATAATATTAACAATAAAATCAAAATCAAATCACTATAAGTCTAAGTCCTCAAGCAATGACCTCACACTGAAAAATTACACCAATAATAATATTAATCTCAAAAGTTATTTAACTTTTATTTTAGGAAAAATTAATCTAAGGTCCCTCTTCCACTTTTGGTGATGGAAGAGATCCACAATATTATTTTGTGATGTCTAAGATCCCTTAATTCTACACCCATATATCCAGAGAAATTTCAGTCTCTCGATTTCTCCTTCTACACACATGAACACATTTCTAAGCTTTTCACTTCCACCATTAGATGTAATCTGTCTCTCTCTCTTGCTCTCTCTCTCTTTCTCTAATTCAATCACGCAACGCTCTCTGGTCAAAGCGTTGGGGACTCAGACCATCCGACCCAGAAAAAGCCCTCAACATCGCCAAAAACGCAGTCAAACGAGCACCCCTTTTGATACCCATCTTCAACCATTGCTACATTCCCTATAATCCTTGCTTAGCTGGAAACCCCATCTTCTTCATTGACGAGAATCGAATCTTTTGCTGTGGTTTCAATCTCTCTGATTTCTTTGATCGCGAGTCTTCATTGTTCAACAACTTAGACCCTCAGGTCCTATCAAAACAACGATCATTCAACGAGAAATTGGCCAGGTCGTCATCTAATTTTTCTCGGAGAAGCCTCGACGCCGTGACCACTGGTAGAAACCCCAGATGGGTTGAGTTTTGGAGCGCCGCCGCCGTGGATCGACGGCGAAGGAAGTCTAATTCATCGTCTTCTTCCCCTTCGTCCCCAGAACGGTGCTTCGACATGCCCAGATCCGAAATGCCAAAATGGGTCAACGAGTACATTGACCAGATCGGGTCAGTGTTGAGAGAAGGTGGGTGGAACGAATCGGACGTCTCCGAAATCGTACACGTGTCAGCCTCTGGGTTCTTCGAAGGTGAGATGGTTCTCTTGACATTGACTCAGTCCTCAACAACAAGCTAAATCTCGACACTTTCATCACTGTTCCACACGGGGCCTACTCTTGGCCTGGTTCGGACCGCTTCCTGGCTAATCCACTCAAATATGTATGTATATATATAAATGTGCTGTATATATATGGTGTGTGTTTGGACTAGAGAAATTCTGATTTGAACTAAATTTTCTCTGGGTTGGTCCAGAGAAATTCTTTGTTTGGACTGATTTTTTTCTTATTTGAACTGAATTTTCTCTGGGTTAAAGAGAATTTCTCTGTAAATGTTTCTCTAGGAATTTCATTGATTATGAGAGAATTTCTCTGGCTTAAAGTGATTTAGAGAAATTCTTCATTCATTTTCTCTGGAAAAAATTTCTATCTAGAGAAATTCTAGGGGATTTTGGCCATTGTGTAAGTTTTCTTTGAGAAATTCTCTGGAAGGTCTGAAAAATAGAGAAACCTCCAAGAGAAATTCTAGTTCTCTGGAGAGAAATTCTCTCAGAGGTCCAAAGAAATTCTGGAGAGAAATTTCTCTGAATCAAATTGAGAGACCTTAGACATTAAGAAAATATTTGGTGTCTTTTATGATATAAAATTTTAATACCAGGGACTTTAAAAAAAATCCCCTTTATTTTATATAATATAAAAAAATTAAACATAATTATGATATTTTTAATAAATAATATATTATTTTATTCTATGTATATGTATGATATGCTAATAATAATAATAATAATCAAATCACAATAACTCGAGCGTCTAGGCCACTCCAAAGGTCAATGACGATTATTACCTAGTATGTGTGTGAAAGGAGAAATTCCGTAAACGCAAAAACTAGTCAAGACGAAAAATAATAATAATAATATCAAATCAAATCACAACAAAACCTCCAGCGTCAACCTGACATAGAAAAATTACAATACATGTTCTCACTTCAACCTCGAGGCTAGACGACGATTAAATACCGTAGGAAAAATATTTTCAGTAAAATTAATTTAATATAAATAAATAATAAAATAAAATATAAGAAATTTTTTATAGAAATTTTATAAATTTAATAAGATTGTGACCTAAATTTAATAAGATTGTGGGGGCCGAATACATGGGAAAAATTAGATGGTTCGTACCATTGGAAGACTGATATTAATCGGCTATATCCTACGAGAGTGGGGAGCCGGATATAATATATGTGCCGAATAAGTGTAAGTCCTTAGTGCCGAATAGATGAAAGGACAATGATTAAAAAGTAGGCCCTGGCCCCAAGGATAAAAAAGAACAGGTATAAATACAGGAACAACGGTTATAGAAAGGTATGTAAAAATCACTTGACAAAACTTAGTAAAGAAGCTACCCTGAGTATCTGAACTAACTTGTCCGTCCTTGGCTTCAAACTGTTAATATGCTTCCTTCCCTTTTAGAATTGCACTTGCCTCAGTGTCAACTTTTTAGTCTTCCACCCACTCTCCAATTTATTAATTTTACATCCCTTTCAGTACTTGACCTATCCAACAATGGCTTCAACACCACAATACCCCACTGGTTGTTTAATTTTAGTACCCTTGCCCAACTTGATCTCAGCTCCAACAATCTCCATTGTGGGTTGTCTAGAAGTCGAGGTAAGCTTTGCAATTTGCACATGTTGAAACTTTCTATCAACGAAATCAGTGGTGAGGTTACTGAAATGTTGAATGGTTTTTCTAGTTGTCCCAATAATAGTAGCCTAGAGTCATTAGACTTGGGATACAATCAACTGACCGGTAATCTGCCCAATTCATTTGGATACCTAAAGAATTTGCAGTATCTTGCTCTTTGGAATAACTTGTTCAAAGGTTCGATTCCAAACTCCATCGGAAATATGTCCTGTTTGGAGGAATTGTACCTCTCCAACAATCAAATGGGAGGGAACATCCCACAAAGTCTTGGGCAATTGAAGTCATTGGTTGTGCTAGAGCTCTCTGAGAATCCATGGGAAGTGTCATTACTGAAGCTCATTTTGCGAATCTCTCAAGCTTAAGGGAGTTCTCAATGCATGAAGGATGGTCAAATATTTCGGTGATTTTCAACATTAGTTCTGATTGGCTTCCTCCTTTCAAACTCACATACATCTCCATCATATCATGCCAGTTGGGCCCCAAATTCCCAACTTGGCTTCGAAATCAAAATGAATTGAACACACTAGTTCTCGTAAATACTAGAATTTCAGACACCATACCAGAATGGTTTTGGAAGTTGGATTTACAACTCAATGAATTAGATGTGGGTTATAATCACTTAAGTGGACAAGTGCCTAACTCATTAAGGTTCAACAACTTGTCCAATGTTGATTTGAGTTCAAACAACTTTGAGGGTCCATTTCCACTCTGGTCTTCCAATGTGAGTTCACTATATCTGAGGAACAACTCGTTCTCTGGACCAATTCCTTTAAATATTGGTGAAGTAATGCCCAAGTTGACAGACTTAGATATGTCTAAGAACTCTCTAAATGGTAGCATTCCCTTGTCCATAGGTAACCTAAATGTTTTGACAAACCTAGACATCTCAAAAAATCATATATCCGGAAGAATTCCTGACTTTTGGAATGATATGCCAGACTTGTACTATATTGATATATCAAACAATCGTCTATCTGGTACAATACCAAGCTCAATAGGTTCCCTAAATTCCCTCAGATTCTTATTGCTCTCTAAGAACAATCTTTCAGGGGAAGTTCCTTCTGCCTTGCAAAACTGTACGGTCATGGCTACCATTGATATTGGTGACAATCAAATATCTGGATACATTCCAGCTTGGATAGGAGAAAGTATACCTTCTTTGTTAATTCTCCGTCTGCGGAATAATTCCTTCACTGGAAGCATTCCTTCACAGATATGTACCCTTTCTACACTTCACATATTGGATCTTTCACAAAATAAGCTATCAGGAATAATTCCACCTTGTTTTGGTAATCTGAGTGGCATGAAAATTGAGCTTAATTCAGAAAAGACGCGATACCAAGCGTACTTGGAGGTAGTTACAAAGGGAAGAACATTTGAATATCAAGATTCGAATCTTTACCTTGTGAATAATCTTGATCTCTCCGGCAATGATTTGTCTGGAGTTATTCCTGAGGAACTAACAGGCCTCTTCAATATTGGTACCTTGAACTTATCAATGAATCATTTGAGAGGAACAATACCAGAGAAGATTGGAAACCTGAAACAATTAGAAACACTTGACCTCTCAAAGAACGAACTTTCAGGGCCAATTCCATCAAGCATGGCATCTTTGACTTTTTTGAATCACTTGAACCTATCATACAACAACCTGTCAGGTAAAATCCCCACAGGCAACCAGTTACAAACTCTCATAGATCCATCAATTTATGAGGGTAATCTTGCTCTTTGTGGGCTTCCATTGACAACTAATTGTAGCAATGATGGTGGGGAAGTTCCTAGCAGGGATAATAAAGAAGACACAAATGATGAGGGCAAGTTTGAAAAGCTATGGTTCTCCCTCACCATAGTATTGGGATTCTTTGTGGGTTATTGGGGAGTCTGTGGCACTTTGATAATCAAGAAACATTGGAGGGATGCTTATTTCGATTTCCTTGAAAAAATGAAAGAGATGATCATTGCAGTTGTTTCAGGCAATGGGTGTGGAAAGGTTAGTTCTGGCAGTCGAAACTGATGGTGGGCTACTGGGTGGAAAAGGTGATAGTTACAAATTTAGAGTTTTGAAAGGTTAATGGGTGTAAAAAGAGATGGAGGTGTTGAGGATGATGATATAGTTGGGATTAAGAGGGGCACAATGAGTTAAATAAAAATTTTAAATTGTGAAGAAGGGTGTAATTTAAATACGAATGGAAACAGTTATTTTTAATGTGTAATAAAGCTTCTCGTATTATTTTTAATCTGTAAATTGTGAAGAAGGGTGTAACACGTGCTTTAAAATTAGTAGTAACTCATGCAATGCACGGGATTTTATAAATTTAAAAAAAAAATCATTATAATTATCTTGAAGTAATCTAATATTTTGTCTTGTGGTATATATAAAATTTATAAGTTAATTTTTATGTTTATAACTTTTAAAATTATTCGTTTAAAAAAATTAAATATATATATATATATATATATATATCTATTTGGATAATTTGTATTAAAGAAAAGTTAAATTTGATTAAATGAGATTAAATGAGTTATGAAATACTTTTTCTTGTTATGAAAACATACAAATTTAAAGGTTATAATTAAGACAAATATACAATTTTATTATTAAATGTGAAGTGAAGTGATATTTAACAATAATTAATATGATGTTTCTATTATTAATTCAATAATTTAAGTTACATTTCTTTTTATTTTAATTTCATAACTAAACATACAATATGAATATAATACGTACACGGATTTCTAGTTTTTAATAATAATAATGTTTTAGAATATTTCCAACCTTTTATCATTTTCTTTTAATTTTATTTATCCAATTTGATTTTAAATTTTAATAAGAATTTGATTTCATATGAATTGCTTTAACTTTTTTATTAAATTTTATGTATATTATAAAATTCGATAAATCGTTCGAAATGACCTCACTCTCCTAATCAGAGTGAGATTGGACCCTGACGTGGTCACTTTAAATACATATCACCAAATAACGATAAAGTAGTAGGCATCACGTGAAATTACAGTACAAGCAATCAACAATTCCTGCCGTGGAAGTGGAAGACACAGTTCTTAAGGTAAAAAAAAAAATAAATAAAATGACTGATATTTTTCTAATGAGGTGTGCTCGTGATGGCATGATTGACGACGTCATCATGATGATGCCCACTTTCCAATTTTCATGGTCAATTCTACTCTGCCTTTATTTGTGTCCTCTATCTCTATCCTTTAACAACCGAGTATAAAAAAGCATTAACAAAATCATCTTGTGCTCAACCATATCTCTCTCTCTCTCTCTCTCTCTCTCTCTCTCTATATATATATATATATATAAGTCTAATTTGGTGAGTTAGTTTGTGGCAATACTTTCAAGTGAAGCAAAATGGCAAGTTGTCATTACACTTCTTCTTCAACTCCCAAAATAGAGAGAAGGATTATAGAGAAGAATAGGAGGAATCATATGAAGAGTCTCTATTCCAAGCTCTACTCTCT